CTGCTGTCGAGGCAAACTTCAGGCAGGCCCCCAAATCACTAGAAGGAGTTACATAACATGAGACCACTACCTTGGTGCACTTGGACTCACGCGATAACTACAGGTGAGATGGGACATGGGAGGAGCCAACACCATGAAGATGTCTACTAGAAACACTTCCTCCAGCAGAACAGCTCACTAACAGCAGTCCAGCACTGCTGTTTTTCTCAGCTACCTCTGCCTTGCACAGTGTTCAGAGGTGGGAGAGTGACATCTCATGAGAGATGATGCTTCTGCATCAGGAGATGCGTGATATCAGGCTGAAGAAAGCAAGTGTCAGACTCGGAGCATAATGCTCTGAATTTCTAATCCTCACCTCAAGACATCACTGACTTGGATTAACACACACAACATACTTAATCCTATTCTGAGAAGTGATCTAACACCTCTAAACACCTTTTCATTAAAAAGTTGGTGCAGAGAACTGACCCAAGCATTATCAACGCAGTTTGTCAAAGTTACTTGCAACCAATGCAACCTGGGTTACTAGAACCATGGACACATTATCTATGGGTTATGCTAAACCTTCTCCTTACATTACAAACCACACATGGTCAAGTATGTACATAAAAAACAAAAGAAAGAAAACACAGAAGCAGGATGCAACAGCAGTAGAGACATCTCAATGGCAGAAACAGAGCTCCGGAACGACACTTTGAAAGTAAGAGATGTACACAAAACCTATGTCACGTAATTTCAAAGGGCAAGATATTTTAAGCAACTCCACCTGGAAAAAAATATATTCAGCAGACTAAAATACTTTATTGGTTCTTGCACTCCACTCAACCTGGAAGAAGAAAAAACTCTACCTAAAAATCAAGTACACCATCTTTTAACAGTACAATAGAAGAAAAAAGATTATGCAGAAACAGGCACGTCCTGTCTCTAGCCTGCCGTATCTTCTAAGGTACACTGACACAGGAATGACTGATAAAGGGTAAAACTGGGAGATGCATCTGTCCCAAAATAATACAAAAAAGCAGAACATAACTGCAAAATATTATAGATAAAGAGTTACAAGGAAATCTTACCTGCAACATAGTCACCAAATCCAATGGTAGTTAAAGTGATAACCACAAAGTAAATTGCATCTAGTGTGCTCCAACCTTCTATGTGCTTGAATATAACTGCAGGAAGAGCAACAAACAGCACGCAGCCAAACAGTATGAATATTATTGTTGAAATTATGCGAATCTTTGTCTGACTCACATTCCATTTCTGGAAAGGGAAGGATAAAAAAGAGGAAACCCATCATTAGTAAAACTGAACTACAGTACATCAGCACCAATCACCCACAATGAGCACCAGCTGCTCAAGAGCACAGTGCGTTATAGTTCTCAAACAAATAAGGAAATCAAGTAGGGGTTTATGTCGACAGAGTTTTCAAAGCAAACATGACTATCCTAGGAAACATTTGCATCAGGAAATGCAGAGCAGGGCTGGACTCTTCATTGTGGCCACATTTGTGATCTGGCCAAGTTACTTGTGTAGCATTCATTAATGTTAGCAGCAGATCATGCTGAAGTTTTGAGCGGGGGACAGATACTTGAGCGAGTTCCAAGTAGTGCTTGCACCTGCGTTATCTCTACCTTTGTGCATCCACAAATAACAGAATAAAACCATTATTTTTTAACTGTGCAGTTCTCTCTAAGCTAGTAATGGGCTAAACAGAACCACAGAAAATAGAGTGGGAAGGGATGTGAAGAGATCACCTTTTCTAAACTTGCTCCAAGACAAAACCAAGCCCACTTAAGCCACTGTAGACACACTAGTGGCCAGGCAACATGCGATCATGCTTAACTATTTTCCTAATGCTTAAACTGCATCTCATCTCCTTCATTTTAAGCCTACTATTTATGGTCTCATCCAAGGCAAACAAAGCAGTTGCTACTTTGCTCTTTCCAGCAAACTTTTATAGGTGTTCTCTTTCAATCATATGTTCTATAGACCAAATGCATGCATTTATTTCAGTCTTTCTTCATCCATGTACTCTTGTTGCCATTTGTTGACTCCAGCAAAATAATCCATCTTTCATTACGTGTTGTACTCAAAGCTAGATATAATCCCCTCCCTTTGCCTATTTATTTATTTACACTCGTATTTATACTTCTAGCTATGATGTATCATCATTTCACAGCAGTATGACATTAACTCATGTTAGCATATAAGCCCCCAGTCCTCAGAACATTTCACAGAATCACAGAATCATTAGTGTTGGAAGGGACCTCTGGAGATCACCCAGTCCAACCCCCTGCCAAGGCAGGGACATCTAGAGCAGGTCACTTGCACTGTTTCCTGAAATGCAATTGCATGTTTTATTATTCCTTCATCTAGTACTTTGAATTTGTCTTCCTTGAATTGAATCCTGTACATTCAGACTGCCCTTTAAACTTGTCAAGATCATTTTGAATCCTAATTCTGTCCTCCAACTTTTTGATCTGTCCCCACCTAGAGATTACCTGGAGATTTAATAAGCCAAGTCCTTTATCTCTTGTGTAAGCTATAAATGTTTTTTCTTTTAAACTGTACAAACACTAGAACGGACCACTGCAGAGTCCCATTTGACAGCCTCTGCCAATTTGACATTTTTCCCAAAGAGTTTTCCATGCATCCAAAGCAAGTTGATTCAACTTGAAAGAAGCAAGGGAACGCGCAACACTGGAAACTTCCACAAAAGGAGACCAAAAATGAAATCCAGACTGTTCACAATATATATTTTCTTGTATTTAAGTTTACTGTCAATGGAAACTATGTTTTACAATCAGCATGACCAATGCCCAGCTCTTGTAACCCAAACCACAGTTTGGGTTATGGCAACATGAAATTCCCTGCTCTGACACATCACCATCTCCTATTTGTTCTTTTGGGGAACTAGTAAAGAGAATAAGGGAGTGTCCCAGACTGCAACATATAGATCAGTGTTCTCATTCAGATACTGCCAAGAGGTGTGCAAGATAGAATCATAGAATAGTTAAGGCTGGAAAGGACCTTAAGATCATCTAGTTCCAACCCCCCTGCCATGAGCAGGGACACCACATACTGAACTACATCACCCAAGGATGCTGCTTTTTATGTTGAGGCATTCTTGTTGTAGGGATACAACCATTATGAAAACAAGAAAAATAATTATCCCTATGAGACACAGGCAAAGAGACACTAATTGGTCTCAAAGCTTTTGTACTTTTCAGCAAAAAACTCAAAATTCAGTTATAAAAACCAGAAAGGACAAAAATAAAATGTTCTTATGGATTGTTCTTGCCTTTTTTAGAAAAATCTCAATGGAAATGGGTATTATTCACCAGTACCTTGTCTGCACTTGAACTGAAGTTTCAAAGTCAAAAATTCCTCCCTTTTCTTAAAAACCTTTCAATCTTTTATTTACCTATTGCATAAATCTACTCAGCACAGCTTGTTTTCTTTGCTTCAAAAATAAAGCCATGGCAGACACTTTCTATATAGTAAAGGTGTCCTGCATGCAAGATTAGGGCTTGTTGCAGAACACCAACGCTTCTAACACTTGCTATGTGGATGCAAGCCACTACAAAGTCAGGCTGCTTCTTAAGTATTCAGTAGATAGGACATGTTCGACATATCAAAAGACAAATAGTATTTCATATGCCTTCTGAACATTAGGTAATAGTTAAACCTACAACATTTTATTGAAGGTAGTAAACCACCTAAATAATTAATTTTACTAAATTTTATTATGCCATTTATTCTATGCTTCAAAAAATCTCAGTAAATACATTTTTAATAACTGCATTAGTAAAATACGACCTTAAACTTTTCTATGTATGAAACAGAGACTAAGTAAATTAAGTTCCTCTGCTAGAATCCAAGGCATTTAAGATTGTTAAGGACAGGCTATGGCTGAGATTGATCAATATCTGCACAAGCTTCTGGTCTGTTTGACAGGTCTCTGTCTCTACTGAAGCTGTGCCACTTTGCATGAATAATTGAAGATCAGCATGAACCTCTAGGCTGTGTTAAGCAATTTAGTAGCAGAGGCTGAAAATACCTTAAACTGTAATCTTACAGCCTAGTGAGGAGACCACAAAGAGAACACCCATGTTAGAGAGGCACCAACAGGCTCTGTACCATTTAGGCTGTCCTGCCCAAAGCTTTAGCCATCTACAACCTGTAAACCTCAAAATGTAGGTGCCTACTTTCCTTAAGTGTGATGGCATCTGAGATTTTAAGAATTGTGATTTTAGACTCAAACACCAAATGTCTTCTGTGAATTAAAGAAGCAATTTCCACATTACTCCTACAGTTCCTGTATGCCATCTCCCTGAGTCATTAATTTCCTATTGACTTACATGAAAACCTTTAAAGGTAAGCACGACAGCAAACTTAGAAGTATTATAAGGGCAAACCAAACGAAGTATTTTGGATCTTCTTCCTCTTCCCAACCATAATTGTTGTAGAAATATTTGGCTTCATCCAATTCTCAATTAGAGATGTTCAGTAGCATGTTCAGACTTTGCAAAGTTCTTCCTACCTTTTGCTATGCATCTAGTGACAATGAGCAGCTATACCCTGGTTTTCATATTTTTAATTTCACTTGTTAACTTCAGAACAATGAGCAGCATGAAGAACAAATGAGGCAGGCAGCATACTCACAACAAAGGTGTCTTCTACTTTCGCAATTCCTTTTCCAAAGATTGTCCCTAGTTGATCTCCAACACCAGCCAACAGAAACCCAAACAGAGGAATTCCCAATAAGGCATAGATGATACAGAATATCTTTCCACCTTGTGTGCGTGGGGAGATGTTTCCAAAGCCTAAATTACAAACAACTTAAGATGTTTAAGAAGTTACATACATTACATTACACATTTTAACTGTTCTGCAGGAACAGAACAGTTAGAAAATAGGTCCTATTAGGTTAACCATATGGCACAGCAAACATCATGAAAAATTAAAGTGTAGGTCATGCAGTTCTCTCTGAGCTAAAATTAAACTGCTGCACAATCCACCAACTTGCATTTTGTGTACTGTGGAGAACTCAGAATCTTTTAAATACATGTCAGCTTTTCTCATCTACTGCGTGTAGTTAATACACCAATCGGTTAAGCTATGCCTTAGCCCCTGCTACCTGGAAATATCTGTTACTGGACTTGTAATTGGAAGGCTGCAGTACTGGTAAAAAAGATACAATTTCGCTCAGAAGTGCTCTGTTTCAAAGAGAATCAGCCTGAAAAAGACCCTCATAACAGGGATTTCTAGCCTAAGTGGGACTGTTTAGAATCTTCATTATTGAAGGCTTTGGTTATTTCAGTGTTCCAAACAAAGAGAGAAACAGTTTACAGCTCTGTCCATTTCAAAGTGTAAATCATTTTGCGTTCACTGGCTTGATATGCCTGTGATACCTCAATTGCTGCTGGTCCACTTAGGATGGAGAAACTGAAATACAAACAGCACAGGCCCCAGCATCTGTGAAACATATCTCCCAGGATGGGTATAGTAATGATTTTGCCAAGGTCACATAGCAGAACCCTACAGACAAGTTTCATGAGCATCACTCCTCCATTTTAATTCCAGAGTTTTCCTCCTGCAAAGGACCACTTGTGCTTTGGGGGAGTAGTAACACCCCAGCATTTTTGACACTGTTTCACTTTTCTGTGCATCAAAAGGCAGCCAGATGGGGAACTTGTCAGAAAGCTGCTCATTTTCCATGGAGAAATTAAACAAAAGCTTTTTGCGTAGAAAAATAATTGTAAATGAAAAGCAAAATATTTTAGCAAGTAATTGAGAGATTTGATTTAGTGTATTAAATTTTGCATGAGGTGCTTTTCATCGACACAGAAATCCTTCACTGAAAACCAAGTTTTCCTGTGAAAAAGCTGATGGACAAATTTTATCATCTCTATTGAGAGCTTGCAACGTCATTTTCTTTTCAAAATACCTTAGTATTTTTGCACAATGTGACTGTAAGCTTCTACAATATGAAGCACATTTAATGAAGCTCTTAGGTATTTATCAGAATTTGTATTTAACTATTTCGAGCATGTTGGTTTAACATAGATATTCTTTCTGAAATCTATTATCTCTATTTTTAGTTCTGCTATCCTGTAGGTAAGCTACATCAAAGCCTTCTTTTCAAAACTACTTCTTCCTTTCGGTACAGAGGAGACAGAAGCTGCCCCTCACTCAACTGCATTAAAATAAAAATTAATCACATTGAGAATATACTTTACTCCTAGATCTTCTGCCCCAACATCAGTTTCAGATAATAGTTGTTTAAACAATAGATGCAGTGTTGACAGAGTTCAGTTAGATTAAAAAAAAAAAGAAGTAAAAAAGTTGATATTAATTTTTCCCAAATAGGGACTAATAAACCCTGACAAATTAAACAAAACCAACAAAATTAGAGGAAACATCATCAATTACAGGTTGTGGAGTCCTCCACATTTAAGTTTTCCCTGCACTAATACAATGAAAATAAAGCCTGACTCAGGCAACTGGAAAAATGTCATAGTGCCTTTAGCCCAACCTACTATCCTTCTCTAACCCAGGGCTGAAAATACTGATTATTATAATTCAGGATATTTCAGTTCCACTGAGTTTTCTCTGACCCTTTATGCACCAAGCAGAAAAGACCCTTGAGTTTTCAAACAAAATTAGCTCACCACCACCAAAAAGGGACAAACAGATCCAAGCTCCTCTGTTTACATAAACATGCCTGTTTATGCATCCACAGGAGCTTGAATAGTTCCAGGGTTAATTCCTGAGGGGTCCTAATGCAATTGAGAATCAAGGGTCTGGATACACCAGATTCATAAAACTCATACTAGGGGATTTGGAAATTGCTCTTCCCCCTTTTTCGTTTTTGTTAAGAACTGTATACGCTTCAAAGTAGTGCCTCATAATGGTGACAAAACACATGAAACACATGCCAAGCAGGCAGCTTTGCCCAGTTAGCTTCATAAAGCAAACTGGCATTCTCCATGCATCCCACAGCTATTACAGACACAAGTGCTGCTGCAGCATACTTCTCATCTGCTGCTAATTGCTATGAGGACATGAAGTTCAAGTTTAGCTTTATATATTCTCCTCCCTAAATCAGTCACATCTTGCTCAGGAAAAGGATGGTACGTTACTTCTACGGTCACAAATACTTGCTTTCCAGCCTGAAAAATGAAAAATTCCTATCCATAAGCAACAAAGAAGGTTTTGTATTATTAACTGTACTTTACAAAAAGATCTCACACATTACTGGATAAAATAATCCTACTCCAGCAGGTAGTAGTTTTTCTCTGTCCAGATGCTCACTGCACATAACAAAACATGGCACTCTCATAATAGGACATGTACTTAAGTGAACTGATCTACCAAGGGCTTTCCACCACACATTAATCATATTTCCTTACAGTGTCATGTTTTATAACAGTCTCCTGCTGTACACCACAGCCTACTTCCCGCGTTGCACAAATTGTCCTTACGTCCTACTCTCAGTTTCTCCAGTGAAAAGCTAATCCATCATGTCTGCAATGGGAGAGGAAACATTTATATTTCTTATGGTTGATGCAATTGTGAGGGTTTTGTCTCAGAACAGTATTACACCTTTCTTCTTAAGAAAATGGGGGGGAGGGGGAATAGAGGAATTCTAATTCTAACCCAAGGAAAACTTTGTTTCAGGCACTGTGCTTGGAGAGTAGCACATGGCCGTAAGAATGCCACCACCTATCTATCTCTGTGTACCACACATCTCTTTTCCGCATGCAGGGCAGGAATTCCTGGCACCACTGCAGCAGCTCAGTGGCATGGCATGTTCACTTCAGAGTTCCTACTTCTGCTCCTGAGGCTGGCACAAACTCTGGTTATGACAGTCTTGCTCACTGAGAAGCCCTGGAGCATCAGCCACATCATACTATGCCCTCCCTCTGAACTGCTTGCCTAGAGGGGATGGTGCACACTAATTGTACAGACAGCCTCAGTACCTCCGGTACTCTTCACACTTTCTAGTCCCATGCAGTTTTTCTCTTCCTCTATTTCTGCTAAATGGGTAGAAGCAGCTAGTTCTTCATTACAATCAAAAGATCCTGGTTCTGAACATGGACATGAAGAAAGCACTAGATTTAAACTGGCTAAATTTCTCAGAAAATTTCCCTCAAAGGCTTTTAAACCAATACTATCTGCAATGAACAGCATGAAGCATAAAAAAAATCTAATTTGCACAATGGGACCAGTTTCACCCAAGACCATTTTCTGCCTGTACTTCCCCAACATGCCTTCCCCACTTCACTTTCATTACCAGGGGCATGCTTTGCCTCCTAGTGCCACCAAATCCCTTTCATGTCCTGCTAAATGCTTAGCATGCCTTTACTGCCCAAAGGACTTCGTGCATTCAAAATGCAGTCTCCGACAGCAGCTGTGAACAAGAAATACATTTTGGAAGGAACTTCCAGTAACCCCTGAGTGAATTAAGAATAAAAGGCAGGTTTTATGTAGATTGTAACTAACTGCTCCATTCAACAAAATAACATAATCCATGGGTTTGTGTCCAGAACCCTTAGAGCCTTCAAGATGAAAACTGGATACAAAGAGAAGTTCAGTCCCTTCGATCAGCAATAGACAGAAGAAAGGGTATGCTAAATTAAAAAAAACCAACAACAACAAAAACAAAACAAAACAAAAAAACCCCAAACAAAACCACACACACAAAACAGAAAACAACACTTTATAGGATTATTTCATTTTATTTTCATGTCCTCTTTTTTGACATATTTGAGGATGAAAGTGTAGCTTACACATCTGAAGTGGATTTGCTATTAAGTAAAAATTAGTAATTTTTATAACTACAGCTATATTACTGCTTTTGAGCAAAACAACATATATTTGAAGTTTCGGGGGGGGG